TGACACTGCAGAGTGGCACAGGTGGGTGCACTGCTGGGCACAGGTGGGTGCACTGCTGGGCACAGGTGGGTGATCTGCTGGGCACAGGTGGGCGGAGCTAGTGGGCGCACTGCTGGGCACAGGTGGGCGGAACTTGCAGGTGGCACTGCTGGGCACCGATCATCAGGGCACTGATTATCAGTGTCCTGATGATCGGTGCCAATCCCCGCTGTGACAACTGCCGGTTCTCGGCAGTACTTTCCTCACGATCTGACAGCGTGAGGAAAGTGCAGCCGAGAACCCGGCACTTGCATTTCCCTGTGATCAGCGTGTCATTGGACACCGCTGATCACGTGGTAAAAGGCCGCTGGGATCGGCCTTTTACCACATCACGTGATCAGCTGTGTCCGTAGGACACAGCGATCACGGAGATCGCCGGGTGCGCGCCCCAGGAGAGCGCGTTCTGGGGGGACGTCATATGACGTCCACCCAGAACTGGCCGGCCGCAGTGAAGCCGTCATTCGGCTATCTGCGGTCGGCTACTAGTTAAGAGGCATGAGGAGTCTTTTGAAAGACTTCCTTTTTTTGACACAAGTTTTTGGTAAACACAGAATTTTTTTTTTTTTTTTTTTTTTTTTTACACAAAGTTGTGTGACAAATATCTTATTAAATTGACAACATGGGCATACTTAGAATTACACCCCAAAACACATTCTACTTCTCCTCCGGAGTATGATACCACCACATGTGTGAGACTAAGTGCCTGGACTATGTACCAGAAATTGCATCTTGTGTATCACACAAATCAACCAAATGTGTCAAATCCAATGTACTGTAATGGTTGCCTCTATGAGTGATCAGGGAATATAGATTAGTGTAGCGTCACCTATAGCATTTCCAGTTCAAGCAAGCCTGGCCTACTGGTATGTGGCTGCAGTTTCGGTGGTTCCAATTGTCCACATGGGATGGCTGGGACTGGTGTCTCCCAGGAACGTAATCCGCAAGATGTGCAGAAGGATCATTGCAGGCAGAGACATGGTCATTTACATTTTGGTTTGGATAAACCTATTATTGGTATATCAACATCTCTACTGGTAAGCAGGGAGTTAGGGATATATCTTACATTACATAATGTGGATGTCAACTTTCACTTTTATTCTCAAAGGGAGTGAAGCAGAGATTGAGACCGTCAACTGCAAGATTGAAATAAACATATTCTAATTTTGGTCTAGTTTCCAGAAGTGCAAGCATGAATAAAACTAGTGTGGGCAGTAGTATTTTCTGAAGCCCATACCGTGTTATTTCCTCTCAGTTTCCTACATCATCAGATCACATTCAAACTTTCAAAACAGGTGTATCTGCTTGGCAGGCGTGAGAAACTTCATACTACTGGCATTTGTTTCTGCAAGATTTTCTGTGCACGAGAGGCAGAAAGGAAGGTATTCTAGCATGGCTAGCATGTACAATGCAGGATCACTGTATCATGAACAAAAGGAGAAATAAGTGTAATGATGCAATACAACAATAAACGGAACTAGCAGGTAGGCTATACCATCTTAACATTAATTTTTTTCTGGAGTGTACCTTTAAACCAAGGCACAAAACTTGCTTTCATCAGTACGTTAGCTTGCTGGTTTTAAAGTAGTTACAAGCACAACTTTGACAACAATTCTGAAAAGTGCCATGGCTTCATTTGAACAATTTAAGAAAAAGCATAAGATATAAAGCAAGGTGAAGCCCTTGATATTGAGTAGCATGTTTACCAGATTCATGACATTTTGTTTGGCATGCTTCTGTTCCCTAGAGATAGAGAAGGATGCTAGAAGCTGAGGCAACAATTGCATATGCCAAGTCTAAAAGGAAATTCAGAACGATAAACCTGAGACTGTTTCATGTGTGATTTACTTCTGATGCAAGAAGTGGTCATGCATACTCAAGGGAAGAAAGGATCCACAAATTGAATTTGTAGCATTGCATTTCCCTGAAATATGGTATTTCCTAGTTCTACAGTGAAATGTCACTGGCCTTTTTGTATGAAATTGTCTGCTCCTGTGGTCCAGCCTAAGTAGATCCAACATAGGCTGAAAGAAAAGAAGCATTATGATGCTAAATTACTGCACCATCTACATTTCATACATATTATAATTGAACATTAGTCAACAGCTCTGCCTGCTTTTACCAAATGAGTTGCAGCAGGTCCTTCTTTTGCCCACAAAATATAGGTGTAGGTATGAAGGCATTTTCCTACATGAGCCCCCCCCTCCCCCCTTAAGAAGATATTTTCATTTCTCTAAGACTATTGCAATTCCAGATAAAAGATTTTGGATAACGGTTCACGAAAAAAGCATAATCCAGAAATGCAAAGTGTGAGCAATAAATAAGGGTCAGCTACTAAGGCTAGGTTCATATTAGTGCAGTGTTTCTCAACCTTCCTAATGCCGCGACCCCTTAATACAGTTCCTCATGTTGTGGTGACCCCCAACCATAAAATTATTTCGTTGCTACTTCATAACTGTAATTTTGCAGTGGGAGGAGTAGTGCCACGTCATTGGTGTCAGTGGGAGGAATAGTGTCCCATCACTGATGTCAGTGGTAGGAATAGTGCCCCATCGTTGGTGTCAGTGGGGGGAGGAATAGTGCCCCATCGTTGGTGTCAGTGGGGGGAGGAATAGTGCCCCATCGTTGGTGTCAGTGGGGGGAGGAATAGTGCCCCATCGTTGGTGTCAGTGGGGGGAGGAATAGTGCCCCATCGTTGGTGTCAGTGGGGGGAGGAATAGTGCCCCATCGTTGGTGTCAGTGGGGGGAGGAATAGTGCCCCATCGTTGGTGTCAGTGGGGGGAGGAATAGTGCCCCATCGTTGGTGTCAGTGGGGGGAGGAATAGTGCCCCATCGTTGGTGTCAGTGGGGGGAGGAATAGTGCCCCATCGTTGGTGTCAGTGGGGGGGGAGGAATAGTGCCCCATCGTTGGTGTCAGTGGGGGGGGAGGAATAGTGCCCCATCGTTGGTGTCAGTGGGGGGGAGGAATAGTGCCCCATCGTTGGTATTAGTGACACCAATGATTGGGGACTATTCCTCCCACTGACACCAATGATACTTACCTTGCTGACCCCTGCTCCAGCCTGGGCTCGCTCGCTCCCTCCCTCTCCCATGGTACAGACACTTACCGGTCAGATGTCTTCCTTCTCCGGCCGCTCTCCTCTTCACTCGCTCGATCTTCGCGGTGCCGCTCGGCTCCTCCTCTCCAAGCTCCACCTCCTCGCCGGTGATTGGCCACCTGTGTGCCTCTCCTGAGCTACAGTTCCGGTGGCCAATCACCAGCGAGGATTGATCCCGGGGGTGTGTCCAGATGACAGGAACGGCATGTCATCCCGCCCACACCTGGAGAGGAGCGGTGTCTCGGTTCCTAAGGCCATCGGAAATATGTGTTTTCCGATGGTCTTAGGCGACCCCTGTGAAAGTTCCGTTCGACCCCCAAAGGGGTCGCGACCCACAGGTTGAGAACCGCTGTATTAGTGTATTTGCATGCCTACCCGCACAAAAAAACAAAAACGAGCCTCTAAGAGATTTGTGGGGGAACCAATAATCCTGATGGTACCCCTATACACTGGAATCCGCAGCGCTGTTTCCTGCGGGTGATGTTTTCTAAAAAGATCCAGGGATCTTTTGCCTGCAGTTTCAGTGAGTACAGCAGCTTATTCAAAAGAATAGGCCACTGTGCACGAGCAATGATGATGGCGGGGAAACCACATAGTTGGGAACCAAGCCTTAGGGAGACTTTACGGATTCACTGCTTGAAAGGCAATTAAGGGACAATATGATTAAAAAAAAAAAAAAAATATATATATATATATATATATATATAATAATAAAAATAATAAATAAGGAGAAATGGGCCATGCTAAAGATATTCTTGTTCTTCTGGAACAAGGGAAATTAAATTGTAGTTGTATTTTGTCCACACTGAACAAAGTTACAAGTTTATTTTACAAGAGTGACTTTATTAATTTGACTTACTTTCCCTGGCATTGCAGTTACCTAAGAAATACTTGTAGCAAGTGTTGTAAACATCAACAGACAGTGCCAAAACATTAGAAACTAAAGCATGTTACCAGATTCTCAACTACATTTTTGAAATGTTTAAACATCCTGAAGTCAATAGCAAACTAAGTTATTTCACCCAGGCTATGTCCAGAAGTCAAACTACAGGGGAAGAACAGAGGTAATTGTTACTGTTTTTGTTACAACATCACTGCCAGTTATGAGATGGCTACAAATATGCATAAATGTAATCAAGCACAGAATTTAACAAGGCAAAATACAGACAATTTTTATTTAAGGTCTTTAGATCACATGTACAATGCATACTTGAGTGAGTACTAAGTTGAACCCACATGTGCGCTGAGTGGTCAACCCAATATCTGTTAAACTTCCTATTATTATGACCACCTTCTGACACACCTCCCTGTTTCCCATAAGAAAAATGTAGAGTAATCCTGAAAGTTACTTTCTCTGTATAAAATGTTTAAACTAAACTCTAGGCACGAAGACTTTGAAATATATTCAATATCCATAAAGGATATAAATCCACTGTGCGTGCACCAAACCTAAACTATAACATTGGAAATGTAGGGGTGATATCATTACTGAAAAAAGCTGTTTGTGGACGCAGCAGGTCCACCCAATACAGGCTGTCTATAGAGAACTATTGGGGAGCCAATACAAGATGAGTTCCTTGTGCAAGGAGAAAGCAACACTGATCAGTTATTATTGCAGGAAACTCCTGTACAGAGGAGAATTTCAAGATTTGTTTTCTGCTAGATTACTGCCAGATCTGAAAGTAATACACATAGGACATCAAGCTTTATGCAAGAATATGCATTCCTATTGTATTTAAGTACAATTTGTTTAGGCCAATCTTCAGACTATGATATAGACTACAACTAGGAGCTCAACTATATTCTGGTGAGATGCACACTGAAGATGACCAGTTTAGTGAACAATTAAATTCAATTTTACATTATTTACTGCACCATAGCAACATCAAAGCTATTCAGACAGCTGTCAATCAATTTCATCTTTTCATCTGACAACACATTTTCCTGTCTTAATTGTGCAATCAGAGATTCCAGGGATCTTAAACGAGAGAGAGTTACATTTTCCTGCACTTCTAGAAGTGCTATTTTAGACTGCAGTTTAGCAATGGTTTGCCAGAGATGATTCCTGTCAAAATCATGTTTGCAGTATGAATGCTCGGTTTCTAGCAGCTCATCACCTGCATCTGATTCCTTGGAAAATGTATTTTCAGCATCAAAGTTTTCTTCATTAGTGAACTGTCGATCATCCAAAATGACCTGGCTTGTCAGAACAGGCTGCTTTTCTGAAACTCCATCTGGCACAATGATTGTAATAACAGATTCTCCAGTCGAGTCCAGTTGTTCTATTGTTTGCTTAATTGCTGTGAACACAAGTGATTTGTCAGAGGGTTGTAGTTTGTTGCTGAAATTATCTACATGAAATGCATTTAAATCCTCTGTCACAATGGCAGCTTGTTCTGTTAATGGAACTTCAAAACACATCTTGGAGTCTGATATGGTGTTAATGAGCATATTTTCCAAAGAGGCATGATTCAACTCGAAAGTCACAATCTGACAGGCTGACATTTCATATTCTGCCTTTGTCTGACCACAAAGTAATTCTCGGCAATCTGAAATTGTAATGCCATCCATTCTGATGACGGAAATGCAATGCAGTATACACTTCAAGTATTAATTAAACCAGTAGTAGTTGTTGCCTCATTGCTGCATTCTTTGAATTCTGTAAGAGAGGAAAAAATATAAATGTCTTCTATGTAATACTATTTCAAGGTCATAAGTCATCATGAAGATGTAATCATTGTAATATATATTTTCAAAACGTAAGAGACCAATGTACACAAGAAACTATTAGTGTTTCACATTTTTGGGGCCCTTTCACACGGGCGCCTTCTGTTCCAATCAGCAGGGCATCTATGAGCGGATAGGCGCAGAGCGGGGTGGATGACAGACCCTTGTCCACTCAGTTGCAGCAAACATGGACAGACTCCTGCTTTGCTCTTTGGGTGGCTGGGAGTAAAGGAACTTTGTTGTCCATTTACACCTGGCTACCTCTGATCCGGTTCACCCAAACGGAAGAGGACGCAGTCCTCCATTTTTTAGCGGGCCTCATCAGATTTGGAGGTAGCAGAAGTACACAGACAAAAGTCAGTTTACAGCCATAGGAGTGCATGGACCTTTCCGATCAGGTGTGCATAAAAACTGACAAGCGAAGCTGATCAGATTTTGTGTGAACTTTCCAGTGCTCCAGGTAATTAATTTCTAAAGGGAAGCCAAGGGGACCAGGACAGAGTTGGCCTAAAGATAATGCTTCAGGGGTGCAGCCCTCCTCAGACGGGGGAAATCAACCACTGGAAAAAGAGCAGACAGGTGGCGCAAACACCTAGTGCATTATCAAGGTTTATTCAAAGATATAAAAGACAAAAACATACTCACAAACAAAGTATATATAAAAAGCTTTTGCATAATGAAGATGGCCGCAACAACGGGCAAGGTGTTCCAATTGTCAGTGCGGTCAGGAAGGTGATGCGTTTCGGGGACAAGTCCCTTTCCTCAGAGCTGCTGCAACCTGATTCGATTGCCCATGTGAAAGGGCCCTAAAGGAAAAGTTTTCCAACTAGAAAATTCACAGTCTTGCATATAATTATTCAACTCACCTAAAGTTGGATTTTACTTTTTAATGCAGAAGAAACGTACTGTGTGCTATCTGCATTAAATTATTTATACCGGTTTGCACTGTACACTGTATACAATTTCGGCATCTACAGAGATGAAAGCGCTCTAGTGCATATGCTGGCAAATAAAAATGGCCAATGAGCAGAACCCAGAAACAGTAGCTGTGTGGTAGACAAGCAGAGCTTGAACTACATCCAGATAGTGAAGAGAAATCTCCTTCTGAGGTTACATAATTGGTAAGGTTGAATACAGACATCAGTCCATCCAGTTCAACCTGTGTGGGTGTGTGTATGCATTTATTTCTCTAACACTTCCCATATCCCTGTATAATGGTTACGGTATAATGACTATTTAAATGTTTTTTTAAATAGTCAACACTTCCTGCTGACATCACCGATTGTGGACTACACCCTTACCGTTATAACAGCAAAGAACACCTTATGCAGTTTAACATTTAACTGATTCTCATCCAACAGGTTCTCTTGAACAACCTAGGAATGAAAAGTTTCTCCCTATGCGAGAATCACCATTTAAATATTTATATATTGCGATCATACCTCCTAAGCGCTTCTTCTCCAGGGAAAATAATAGCCTTTCCTCAAAACAGAGGTCCTCCAGCCCCCTTAGTTTAGTTGCCTTACTTTGGACTCTCTCCAAATTCCAGCACACCCTTCCTGAGGACTAGTGATCAGAACAGGACAGCATACTCAAGATACAGCCAAAGCAGTTTTTTTTCTTTTAACGTGGTAGATTCATAGATTTATCGAGTATATTCCCTTTTTATGTATGATGATTAGTCTGCTAGCCTTGCTTGCTGCAGCTTGGCATTGCATGCTATTGCGGAGTCTGTCGTCAACCAGGGCCGCCAGATCATTATCCACCCTCGATTCCCCCAGTGGCTCTCCCCCTAGCATGTAGCCTGCATTCATATTTTTAGCCCCCAAGTGCATCACTTTACATTTCCCTACATTGAACATTGAACCTCTTTCCCATGTGTTTGCCCACCCCTCTATTTTATTGAGGTCTTCTTGTAAAGTTTCAATATCCTGTTGTGAAGTTATTGCCCTGCTTAGCTTCGTATCATCAGCAAATACCAAGAATTAAGTAATTATGCCAACCTCTATATTATTTATGAAGTTAAACAGAATTGGTCCCAGGACAAAGGCCGCTTACAACTCCAAACCACTCAGAAGCTACGCTATTATCACCACCCTTTGAACACGCTCCATAACCAATTTTCTATCCAAATACATACACTATCATCCATGCCAACAGATCTTAATTTGTAAATTAGGGGTTTATGGGGTATTGTGTCAAATGCTTTGGCAAAATCTAGATACACAACATCCACAGGCCTCCCCCTAACCAGATTACAGCTTACTTCCTCATAGAATGTTAACAGGTTGGTCAGTGGTTGGTTGGTTGGTGATGTGCTGAGGCAGGACAGAGAGATGGACGCACAATATCCTGGTTGAGATGAAAGGTTGAAATCACCTTAGTAAAAGACTCTGAAGCCTTAAAACGACCTTGTGCCTGTGTAAGATCAGAAAAGGATTTTCTTTTTTTTTTTTAAACAGAAGAAAAAATAACAAAAAAAAACAACCAGTTTAGAAACACACCTCTTAGATTTGATTACAAAAAGAGTGGGATGGGGAATGTCCCTGGTAGGTTCCAAACGAGGTTTCTGAAATGCAGAGAGAATTTAACTCCCAGTGAAGGGCGAGTGCACAGGATAAACTACATGAGAGACTTCCAGTATGAAAAGTAAAGCAATAAGAGTTGACACTTGATTATAATCTGGGCCAAATGCTGATCCAGACATAATTGTAAAAAGGTCAGGATTCATCCCTCAGAATATTTTCTGGGGTGAACATTTCTTTACTTGCACCAAGTGAAAATTGTCATTCATTGTCTCAATGGTACACCTTTTGTGGGAAATAGACTTCTTTGCTTTTAGCATCATAGGAATTACAGGATCAGAGAGGCCTCCATCTCAAGACCTGGGCTTCAATAACCATGTTATTAAAGGCAGAGATGTGTATATAAGCATCTCATTTATTTACCAACGCCAGATATTCCCCTTGTTTGAGAGAAAAAAGGACAGATCTCACTGATTCCATATACAATTTTCATACATGAAGAAGATAAGTTTCCAGTATGGGACAGATACCCCCATTTGATTTTGGTACTGTAAATAGGCTTGAGTAGAAACCTTGAAACTGTTATCTAAAGAAATTGGTACAACCCCGTGTCACGACCCGCGGTTGCCGCCACCAACAGGGCGACAATCGCACAGCCGCGACTAACAGTAATACGTCACGCCCACGGCGTCAGACCCCAGACCTTCTCACCAAACTCGTGACCGAAGGGCCGGCCGATCCAAAACCACGGTGTGACGCACGTAACAAGGCCCCACCCAGCTGCACCCTACACAGCGATTGCCCACCTAATGGACTACAATCGGTGCCTGCAGCCTGAATGCGCTTGTTACTGGGTTGGGTTAGTTACGCAACTAACCCTCTACTGCCACCACCACTTTTGTCGGAGATTGGGAAACTCCCGTTACCAAACATACACTATAATGATTGAAATATTGATCTATATAGCACGGCCCGCAGACCTGTTATACAGAGATATACAAACAGTAGCGTCTCTTCAAAGGCAGGGATTCGTGAATTGCAAGTAAGCGCTTAGAAACAGTTTAACACTTTCAGAAAGAAAGATTTATTACCAAAAGCGTCGGATGCAAATAAATATTTACAAAGAGATATCACAAAAAATATATATATATATGTGTATATAAAGACACAGCAAAGAGATAATTAGGAAGAAGATTACAGGGTTGAGTTACTTGCCCTTAGCCTGGGTTTGCAGTCCAAGTTGTGAGCAGGGTGATTTCTTTGATCTCCTCTTGTTACGATGTTGCTGGGAGATCTCTGTGTTTTGTGTGTGTCTCACTAACTCACTTAACTCTCTTAAAGGTCCTCTCAGGGGAAGGGAGGGGGGCTCTGACTTGGGAGTGGTCATTGGGAAACTCTACACTAAATTACCAGCTTCATATCCCCTGATATGAACCATACAGTTGACCTGAGGACTGTGCACTTATTCTGGTCGGTTTGATAATGAGTGGGCTTACATAGTTTTGGTTGATAAAAGTGACACCTCCGCAGACTGGCTGGCTCCACTTCTCATGTCTTCCTGGTTGTTCCACACCATTTGCCAGGAGATAAAGTTTGCCTCTCAGGAAGGGAGGAGGGTAGGAATGAGGCTGAGGAATGTCTCAACTAAACAGACAGACACGAAAAAGAGGGTTGAGGGGGAACTCCGCTCCAATTCTGATGAGCAAGTTTGCCACACCCCACCTTGTGCATGAAGATGGTGAATGGCAGTCATTAACCCGTTCCCATCCGGCCTATAATCAAATGACGACTGAGCAGGACTGCTCTAAATCCGAGAGGATGTCATATGATGTCCTCCCAGACTGCACTGTGGCTCCATCTGTCCACCAGACACAGCAGATGAAGATCACTGTACAGGCCCATTGCTGCTACAATGTGATCGCTGTGACCAATCACATGACAATTGGCATTCATTCATGCCAATAATTGTGTACTATTGTGTTGAACTCTGTGATTGAGCACAGTGATCATATGATACAGATAGAGCCAATTACAGTCCATCTGTACCATGTGATTAGCTGTGGTCAATCATAGCTAATCGCACAAGTACACACTGAATGAATTAATTTCATGCAGAAAAAAAAATATTGTTTATAACAGTGAGGATCACGGTCATAAGTGATCATAGTGTGTAAAAAAAAACCTGATCACCTCCCCACAGTACCACAGTGTTACTATTGCTCTGGTCACAGTGTAGATGAAAACGAAAAAAAAAAAAAAAAAAAAAAAAAAAAAAAATCTATCACGGTCTGTGATCACCGCCATACCTGTTATATGATG